TCTCTTGGTTGGTCAGTGTTCGGCCATAGGCGACGTAAAATGGCAGGATTGGTTTCGAATCGCCGGGTTTCTTAAAGGTGCCGGACGACCTTTTCTTTGTGCAAGGAAGCCCTCAAGAGTTGTCATCCTTACAAGTCCGGTTTGGTTACTGTTGTAGTAATAGCAATTATACCTCAAGATCGTAAGATAAAGCTCAAGGTTTTGCAGTCCAGATTTACATAGTACATGGAACAAGAATTTCCAGATACACAAGGAGCCTTCAGAAGTGGCAGGACCCAAGAGTTCATATTGCAAACATCAATTGGAAAATCAAAGAAGCAAGATCATTCCACAAAGGGTTTTTTTCCTGTATCATTTTTATTTGTGCATAGACCTCAAATGTGGATGTACCAAGCCACCTCATCTGTCTACTGAAGAATTTATATAATGGCCAGAAAGAAGTCACAGAATGAAATCTAGAGCAACTAAGTGGTTCAAGATAATAATAATAATAATAATAATAATAATAATAATAATAATAATAATAATAATAGTAGTAGTAGTAGTAGTAGTAGTAGTAGTAGTAGTAGTAGTAGTAGTAGTAGTAGTAGTACCAATAGTAATAGGCGCCTTGGGTGCAATCCCAAAACAACTAGAGCACCACTTGAACACCATTGGCATTGACAAATTTGCCATTGGTCAATTGCAAAAGGCGACCTTACTAGGAACTACTTCCATCCTGCGACAATATCTGTAATACCATCAAACATCCACATCTGCCTATCCCAGGTCCTTGGGAAGGACTCGATAGGTAGACAAAAATGCCAAATCCAGTCTGAACATCTGGCTGACTATTGTGGGAAGTCAGAGCCCCAGAGAAGGAAATATTAAAAGGGCAGAAATATATATTTCCTCAAAAGTATTTTTAAAAAAGCAGAAACCAACTTTGGCTCCAAATCTATCTCTCTGCCCCAAGCAAGACCTAGCCCCATACAAATGCAGGTGTAAAACCATCAGAAAGTTGAAGCCAGAGCAATCAAGAAGACAAAGAGAAAATCTGCATGCCCCACCCAAACTCTAGGAGTCATTAGCCCCATCACCTGGGAAGCAGGATATGATAATAGGATTAAACCACAGATATCAAGGCCTAGAAAAACACTCAGAAATAGCCT